CATAATAATATAAAGTAGGATTAAGGGCTCATTTGCAGCATCATATTTCAAGTTAATTAAGAGCCGTTATCCTTATCGATATGCGATTTCAGATAGATATGTTTGTTTTTTAGGCAATCCTTACAATCTCAACCTACTTGGTTTTAACATGCAAGGCAGCGTCGCCGATTTAGGAGTCTGCCACCAATTTCTCCTCATTTCCCTAACTTCAAGCCCACACTCACCCAACAAGAACTCCAAATAACGATGCCTTAACCCCCCCCCCCTTCAATTTATTTTCTGTATACACTTAAAGATAAGCTTAAATAATCCTTACTTGGTTTATTGGTAGCTGAATATAAGCGTAAATAGATTAAGTTGTATTAATAGATATTAAAATAATTCAATATGCAAATTTCATGAGTGAAATACGTACTCATTTCCATCCAAAAGTAGTTAGTGAGTAACAATCTTAATGTTGACAGTTTCAAGATTATTTAACGAAACACTGCGGTGTAAATATTAGCGTGAATATTAGGGTAGGGAAGTGGTGATAAACCGAAAATCAAAATTGTGAAAGAAATTAGTTGCAAAAAATGCTCCCGTTTATAAAATAGTGTTGAATGACACAATGAATGGGAGACATTTGCTTGCAAAGCCAACCATTTGATACTATGAATGTGAATATTATCTCAGAAATGCAGTCGCTCTTGAAAACAAAGATTGAAGAATTTTAATTGCACAAATGTCATTAAAAAGTAGGAAATAGTTTATATATGGAAAACAGAAACAGTACATCTATGCACAATTATTTCACGTTAATTTTGATTCAACGAGTTACACACATCTTACTTTTATAAAATTCCATGTTTGTGTTTAAACTTCGTGAACGGCATATCGAATTTTGGAAATCAACTTCTTCTTGTCGATATTGACTTAAATTTTCTGCTTAGATGACCAGCAAGCACCTAAAGTTGGATTCCCAAATGCCCGAATTTTCTCTCAAACAATAAATTTCCGTTGCTAAATTAATTTAACTTAAGTTGTCATTGAAGTCCTTAATGATGCCTATCGAATCCATTTAATTATAACACAATTTCAGGGACAATGTTTTCCAAAAATTGATATGCCTTATTTTAACATGTTTTCTTCACACTTAACTCAATTAGCTTGAATTTTAACCAAAAAGCTGGTCCTTGTCTGGAAAAGATGACCACGCCCTAAATTCACCCAATTAGTTCCAATGATCAGAAATCACATGGACATAATCGTTAACCACTTTCCTCAGAGTCAGGCCAATCTATCCCCCAATGTAGGGTACTAGATTTGGCGTCACAGTGGCTAGTGTCTTTGTGAGATGCACAACTCAGAGGTATACAGTGTTCATTATATGGAAAGATGAAGTTGTGTCCAATTCTTCAACGTTGAATTTTGTGCGACACATCCAGACACCACGCCTTGATTATGACCTTCCGACAACCTTCTGCCTATAATTAGACTCAAGACAGTCCATCAATTGAACTTTTTAGGTCATTCAATGTGTGCAGAATTAACAGGGTATTCCCATGCATTGAAACTTAGAATTAATTGGAGCTAAATGAAGTTAGAAAAATCCATTGGGAAATGAAGGTGGGAGCGTGCGATTTTGATTTTGGCTAAAAATTAAGTAAAAGACTGGGTTTCTATTCAATTGAATTCCAAATTTTTCACATGAATCACCTACATAAAGAAGATAAATTTCCCTATATAATATTTTCAAGTTTATGTATTAGTTATTGGCTCTTTCGATGCAACGTAAATACATCTTTGGAGCTAAATGTGCTTGGAATTGCAACACGAACAATGTTTGTTTGCTCTAAAATTTCCCTGTTTGGAGATATATCCGAAATGATCTAATTTACCTTAAATGTGCTGGTTTAACGTCGTGTGGTTTGAGCATCGTTTATTCAGGTTGTGCGTCATGGGTATTGAACGCAGTTTTTTAAAAGTGCATTTGAGGATCTCTTAAACAATGCAGAGACAATTGATTGGTTGTTGGCTGGGAGGGCTCTACACTCATGTTGCACATACTCTGAATCTGTGGGAGTGTGTATGGGATTTCTTTGTTAAGA